AGTCCTACCTTGACTGTGAATAACAATGTTACCCCCCCCCCACCTCCGCACCCACCACACTATACTATAATATTTCATTTGGACGCCACCCAAAACAGACAATTCTACAAAACACCACCCTCCGGTCACAGGGCTTGGTTTACTGAGACTCGACACACAGCTGTCGTATTTAATCAAATCGACCAAACCATCCAAGACTTACAAAACATGATGATGATGAGGAGGAGGATAAGGATGAGGAGGAGGATGATGATGATGATGATGATGATGATGATGATGATGATGATGATGATGATGATTTCCATACCACTTCTTGTCATAGCTTTCCCCTTTCTTTGGCCTTTCTAATTTGTGTTTCTCGCACCATTGAGAATTGTGACCTGGGTGTACGCACTTTGGTTTCCATAGCTAATCTAGTCATTCCTGTCATTTTTTAAAATGTTCTTGACGAAGCCCTTAGTGGGCGAAACGTTGAACGTATTATAAAATATTTTGGAAATCCTACCAAGTCTGAACCTTTTTTTAAATTCTCTGTATACAACAATATTGATGATGATGATGATGATAAAGACGAAGATAACGACCACTCGCTGCCACTGCGCTCCCCGTCTCCCCTCCCAGCTCTGCGAGCCCCTTATACAGTGAGTAAGACAGAGAGCTCCGGCGCTCTACGTACAACACAGCCCGGCCCGGCCAAACAGGCGCTCAAGACGAAAGGCTAAACACTTGGCTACCAGTTGGTCTCTATCTCAGTCGCGGGCTGGAACATACAGACACAGACAGACGGGCCTTTGCCTGCTTTGTTCATTGTTCTAGGGAATTTCTTCCACCAACGTGCATTTGTGCTTTTTCCCCCTTCATTTCTTCACTGCTCAGACGGTAAGTCCGTGCTGCTTTTGCTCTTCTTCTGCTGCTGGCTTGACGCTGGTCAGTCAGTCGATTTGGGCTGTTAAAGAGTTGGGGGAGTCATCGTCACTTCCACGAGGGCAATCACCGCCGTATAGTGATCACCATCAACCTCCGACTACGGGAGTCCGGGGTGTCAAGGATACGAGGACGGCCCTCGCTGTGATTGAAACGTCCCTTGAGGATACTCCAGGAGGAAACACGCCCACTACTACACAAGGACCCCCGGTGTGTATAGCGTGCATAGCTTATATATTATTAAGCATGCGCTTTCGTGTGTGTGTGTGTGTGTGTGTGTGTGTGTGTGTGTGTGTGTGCATGCGTCCGTGCATGTGTGCGTGCGTGCGTG